TGATTATCGAACATTGAACAACCTTTGAACCAGCAACTTTATTCAAAACATCTAAAAATCTCTTATATTCTTGTTTTTCATAATCTCTGTATTCGGCCCACTTTTTACGATGATCAAAGTGAAAATGGTAAGCTATTTCTTCTGCATCAGTAATCACTTTCGGTTTCGTCTCAATGAAATCAGAAATCGCTTTTAAATTACTTTCAAATTCGTCGTTATATTCAATAGCGAAGCTAAGTTTTTCAAACTTTTTCTGGGAGAATTCAGGACTCTTAAGTTTATCAAGTGATCCCATTTCTAACACTGTTGTATTTTCGTAGACTACATTTTTAACATTTTCAACATAAGACTTCATATGCGCAAAGCGAGGATAATCGTAAAGAATTACAAGCCTATCCCTTTTCACTATTGGCATTGGAGGGGGGGCAGGTATTGGTGGGGAGGTTGCTGTAGGAGGAAGTGTTCTTGTTCCTGGACTATAAGGTATGGAAGTATTTGCTGGATAAGGCGAATACAGTATTGCGCTGGGGGGTTTCGGAGAGTTATAATAATCAGCGTTATAGACTGGTGGTTGAGTTTTTGGGATTGAGGAATTGTAAATTGGTTGATTGGTAGCCGTGTATTTAGTGGACGATGTGTTTCCCAGAATTGTAATCGGATTTGAATTCGTATTATAAGTAGGGGAATAACTTGGAGGTAAAGTATTTCCAGCAGTTTCGATATTCGGATAAGTTGAATTCCTGAAATGTTTTGTGGATATGTCGAGCCTGATGGCGGGTTAGGGAGAGATGGATTATATGTACTTTTTTGGTCATTTTCATAAGAGGTATTTGGAGGTAATGAAGTAGATGAATGCGAATTAAGTGAGTTAGAATGTGAGCTAGGTGTATGAGAGGCGACGGGAACTTGAGTGCTCGAGTTAGTATTTTGCAAATTGGGACTAGATATACTGCTGACTTGAGGCGAGATCTTATGATATTCATTAGGATTGTTGGAGAGATTATTCTTATCATTATTATCCGAGGTGGAAAGTGATCCTGAATGATTTTGATCGGTCATTTTCAGACTAAGATCGTTCGTGTTTAAGGGAGGTGAGTGAGGAGGTATTTTGGCTGGCATGACACTAGAGGGTTGGGCTTGGCTGGTGACTTGCAGCGAGTTTGAGTTCGATCGAGGATTCTGGTCTCCTACCTGCTCTTCGCTCTTTATAATAGAGGTTTTTGGACAGGATCATGAGTAAGAGGTGCTTCAGTGGGAATAGCACTCTCGGACGTTGCTTCGTTCATACTGGCTTGTTCATGCTGAAGAATTTTTTGTTTATTCGATTCGATTAAAGCTTGAGACTCGTCAGGCTTGGTAGTAGGATGAGACCATTCTTCATGTTGAGATGTGATTCCGTCTTTTGGCTGGTCATTCTGCATAGCTGATGAATTATTTTGACTCCCTTCTTTTATCAGACTTATGTGGTCTTCTGGCTTCTCTTGAACATTCTTTGTGCCCGTTTCCCCATTATTTTCTTCTGAAGAGTTGCTTGGCTCAATAGTATCAACAGACTTTTCCGCTTTCGGATCGAGATGGTTAATATTTTCAGGAATAAAGGAACCGACCTGTAACTTATCATTATTTTCGAACGGTACCGAATTAGCTTCAGGTTCTGAATCTTTATTTTGTGAATGAACCGTCTTATCGCTAGAAGAAACTAATTCATCCATTTGTAATTCTGGATTATCATTAGAGCTATTATCCTTTATTCCGTCAGGAATTAAAGAGTCAATCTGTAAAGAAGAATCATCTTCTGGCTTTATTTCGTGACTTTTCGTGACGGAGGCTTCATCAACAACCAGGTCATCATCTTTTTTTGAATCTTCTGGCTCATTGGTTTCAGGAGATTTATCGTTCGATGGAATGAAATATTCCTCGACTTTGGTCTTCTTTAGTGGGGGCTCATCGCCATGATTAAGCTCGAATGGATCGAAAGAACCAAACTCAAAGTTCCCAGACTTCTCGCCCTCAATTTCTCTTCCTTCACCTTCCGGAACATCTATTAGATCATGTACATTCTCTGGCATTTGGGGAGAATTTGAAATGTTATGGGTATTGGGATTTGAGTTTTGAGCCGTTATATTCAAACCACTACCATCTTTTGATGGATTAGTATTCTCGAGAGAGTTTTGTTCACTCATATTTTCATAATATCAATAGCTCCGTACCAACCTCGCTTCTTGAACAACTTGTTTAGGGGTTGTAAATGACTGTCAATCCTAAGCTATGAGTGAGATGGGTAATAAGTTTGTTTTGATAATGAGATGAAGCTGAAAAAAAAAAAGGAAAAACACTGTACCGAAAAAAGAATCACTACTCGTTTCCGCGATTTTAGCTACAAGTATGGATTTTACAAATGATATAAATTACGAAATAGATGTTATTAAGTATCATATAATTAAGAAATTATTTGAGATGCTATGTTTAAGTTTTGTAATGCAAGTTGAAACCCATAGTGAACAGGAGAATAAAAACGAAAAATGATTGCGAAAAGATTAGAAAAACTGAATATATATAATATCGATGATGCAAAAATTTTAAACCTTTGTAGAGCCTGTCGACTTGTAAAAGTTCATGAAAGGTTGATGGAAGGGAACAGTGTAATGTAATTGGCCCATATCTGGATCGGATTCACCATTGGCTATTTTATCTCTTGCTATGATATAGCCTCTAAGGATGATTAAGCATAAAGCAGAAACAGCAAATGAACAGCCAGCAAATATGATACAATGGCTATATTTATCAGGACCAATTGAGTTGGTTGTTAAAACAAGACCAATTACTGGAGAAGCAATTCCTGCACCACCAACAAACAGCCATATCATGGAGAAAGTAACGTTTAATTTTTTAAGACCAACCAATCTAGCGACAATCACCGGTAAGATCCCATAGATAGAACCCATAATCAGACCAATTATAATACTGAAAGCAATGATGGTAGCATAGTTTCTTGCAGGTAACCACATTCCCAAAGTGAAAACTGCGGTTAAAATATAGACGATACAACCCATTGATAAAGCACCAACTTTATCAGAAATGAGACCAACAGTGGGTCTACCGAAAAATGAACCAACTTGAACCATGGCAGAAGCAATAGATCCCTGATAAGGTGTATAACCTAAAGAAACAGTGAAATTAACCATTGTATATAAGCAAATAGCGTAACCAAACATACAAGTTATAACGAATATAACCAAAAGATAAAATCCGGCACATTTTGCAACCTTGTTTATCAAAAGCAGTAAATTCGATTTTCCTCTCAGTTCTCGCTTTCACTAATAAGATACCAATTGAAATAATACCGAGACAAAGAATACTTTGAGCTCTTAAAGCCCACCAAACTGATCTTGCTTGCAAAACTTTTTGCATACCAAGATTGAAAACAATCCCCCCAATTCCTGAACCACCGGTCCCAAGACCCCCGGCAAAAGTTCTTCTTTTCTTAAACCATTGAGGAAGTAAAGTAATAGCTGGTAATGATATACAAGCTAAACCAAAACTATTTAAAACCCCTTGAGTTAAATATAATTGCCATAATTTTTTGGTAAAACTTGCCATGAAAACACCAGCAAATTGTAAGATATTACCTAATAAAATAAGTCCTCTAGTACCTAATATACCTTGTAAATAGTTTATAAAAGGACAAAATATAATACCTAAACCGAGCGCAAACCCACCAATTAAAGCATAATCTACTTTAGTTGCACCTTTAAAGACATGATTACTTAAATCGTAATTAAGATAAATTGCAAACCCACTATTAGCACCCCAAGATCCAAAATTCAATAGAAAAACTCCGAGAACAACTAGCCATCCTCTACCACCATCGGGTATTTCTTCCAATGGTTTATCATCATTAGCTTCTTGTTTTTCATAATCCTCTGAAGAATTGGCTTCCTCATACTGTGACATTCTACTCATTGACTCCCCGGCATCTAATGTACGGTTGGTATTGTGACGTGGTAAATCTTCTTCTAGATCTAATGGAGTCTCCATCTCTTGTTTCGGCTTTGATTCTTGTGAATTCTGACTATGCAAACTCATGATATGCCCTTTTGTTTTTTTGTTTATTGCTTCTATATTAAAATGCTTTCAAAACCCATAGGATCTTGACTTACTTAAATACAATTCTAGAAATGAGTAATTGAAGTAAAGCCGTTTCTTATAGAAGAAATCAAAAAGAAAATTTTTTAGTTAACCTTATGTGCGAGTCGTGAGTCGGCATGCCGATGGGATTTCCCGATGAGGATATTGACAGCAGAATAACCGAAGGTACAATCGGAGGTTCCGATATACTTAATTCAATGGCTGTGAAATACTTCAGACCACCTTCGGATGACTCAGACGCTGAATGGAACCTGTTCAAGGTTGGTGGAAATAAGGGGTTCAGCGAAGAGTTCGGGACACGCACTGTCAATCTCGGTAACTCAACAGGGTTCTCCGAACCGGTTGACAGTCCCCGGCTGAAGTATATACAACCAAATTTTCACTAGTCTAACTTGAGAGACAGTATGCTGAATGAAAATGGCTCTGTTAGAGCTCACAGTGAGAGATTCACTGGTTTTGCCAGTGAATCATTCCAATTCAAATTGTTGCTAAAAAAGTACAATCGGCATTCCGATCGCATTTCTAATCAATGCAACCATTACGCTCTAGTTTCGTTTGGTTCCTTGACCCCGGTTTTTATTATACCCTTTGCGAGTGCTACTCGGTTTACCGAAGCTACCCTCTTCATTCCGGTCTTTAAAGTCTACTTTGCTTAGTAAGAAAAACCAACCCTAACGGCTTATTGTCTCATTTTGGGAAGTACAACGAAATTGCGAAAAACGTTTTTTGACATTTTTTCATGTCAAGACAACAAAAAAAAAGGACTACTTGTGCTGCCAAACGCACTGGAATCTAGTGTAGTTCGGCAAACTCTAAGTATGTCGAGTCAGTACGTGCCAAAAAAAATCAATGGGGTTTGCCGGGAATCGAACCCGGGACCTTACGCAATTTAATAGAACAGTGTAAAACTCCCTAAGCGTAAATCATACCACTAGACCACAAACCCTCTCTGAGCAGGTTCGAACCTCGCACCTCAAAATCGCGGCCATTTTTGCTGAAAGAACAGTTGCCGAAAGGAAACTTTCCACTTGGCTATATGGCGGATATAACACAATTTGTTGGATTTTTTACTGTTAAGAGGGCAAGTAATACAATCGGAAAATTTTTAGATGGGCACCTAAAATCCTTGAATACGACCTAGTTTGTACTTCATTTTAGAAGGAATATGTAGCTATTGCATAAACTAGGATTTCTTGACTCAAAGACCTGAAAAATACGAAAGAATTTTCTAAATTAAAAAATGTCTTTTAATACCTGGGAATGGATCATTTCTTATGTTTTCTAATCCAAGTTCTTGAATTAAAAACCTATTCTGTTCTGGTAGTCACTCATGCTTATCAGCCGTAAACTATAAGATGTTTTCTTGTTCAAAGAAAGTTTTTTTTTAAGTATTTTCTTCTCTTGAAGGATCGCCACCTTCTCAGTATTAGGGCAAAGCCAGAAAAAAACAGATCAGAATAACCTTTATTCTAAAAATATGTTACCAAGCTTAGCAGTATAAAATGCCAGTTTTTATAGAAAATCGAGGGTCTTTAAAAGACATCTGTAATGGTTTCCCCCAATTAGTCCCAAATTTTTACAAATCTGGTAAAAATGAATTGACCTCGTCCAATTCAAAGCAAGGATTTAAACCAATTCTACAGTCCTGAGGAAACAAAAGCACCCACTTGTTCCCATTAAGATGAAATTAAAAGCTATTTCAGAAATCAGCTTATAATTATTTTGCAGTCTTTGCTTTTATCTCGCGCACTAAGAATACTTCGAGTTATATTTTTTTTTTCTCTATTTTTCATATTTTTCAGTGTGATACTACAACTAATAATCATTATAAGTATATGATGCTTATATCGACCAATTTGAAGCCCCTGTTGAGTCGGGGGATCTCCCAAAGTATTGGTCGGTTTCTTCACTCGTCAGCAACTCGACTCGAGTCTAACTTGAACAAGGTTCCACCAATAAGAACCAAGAACATTGGGATCATAGCACATATCGATGCCGGTAAAACAACAACGACAGAAAGAATGTTGTACTACAGTGGTAAAACCAAACGCATAGGTAACGTAGACGAAGGAGACACTGTTACTGATTACTTGCCAAGTGAAAAACAAAGAGGAATTACCATTCAGCTGGCTGCTATTTCAATCCCCTGGAATAATCATAAGATTAATATAATTGATACCCCGGGCCATGCAGATTTTACCTTTGAAGTTATAAGGTCCTTGCGGGTTCTAGATAGTGCAGTTACGATTTTAGATGGGGTAGCAGGTGTGGAGGCACAAACTGAAAAAGTATGGAAACAAGCTAATGCCTTGGGTATACCAAAAATTGCTTATGTAAATAAGATGGATCGAGAAGGAGCAGGTTTTAGTAGAACGGTAAAAGAGATTGTTCAAAAGCTACAAACCCGTGTGGTTTTATGCAATGTTCCGTATTTCGAAAAAACTGAACAAAACGATAATGAATTTTCAGGAGTGATTGATATAATTCACAAGAAATTATTGAAATGGGAACCAGCTAGAGATGCCAATGGAAATGAAATAACAATTATTGATATTGAATCCGAGTCCGCTAAATACCCAGAATTATTCGACATTATAAGCAATAGTAGAATGTCAATGATTGAAACACTATCTGAATTTGACGACTCTTTCATTGATGCCTTAGAAGAATGTGAAGAAGATCCTATGAAATTCAACAGTCAGTTATTGATCAAGGCAATAAAAAAGGCTACTGTTGAAAACCTTGTAACTCCAGTTTTTTGTGGATCATCATTCAAAAATATTGGGGTCCAACCTCTTATGGATGGAATTATTCAATTCAGTCCTTCACCACTTCAAATAAAAGTTCCAGAAATATCCTCCAACAAAAGAGTTAAAAAGACAAAAAGAAGTAAGGATAATCAAGCCAGTCAAGAAATCCCGGTTCCAACTAGTTGGGATCCAAGTAGAGGCTTAATTATCAATAAGAATCGTAACTTAACTGTTGCATTAGCGTTTAAAGTCATGACCCACGCCACAAGAGGTGTTATGACTTTTTTCAGAGTTTATAGCGGGAAGCTCAACTCAAACGCAACGGTAATAAACACCAGAACTGGTAAGAAATTAAATGTAAAGAAATTGTTATTGATGCACGGGGATTCTCCAGAACCAGTTGATTATATTGATTCCGGTAGTATTGGGGTTATTTTAGGATTAGAAGATGAATTAATGACTGGAGATACTTTAGTTTCACACGGTTCTGGTAGTAGCAAGCTGTTTAATGAATTAGAGTCTAGTTTAAAGATGTTGCCTATTGATATACCACCCCCTTTATTCAACTCTTCATTAGAACCTTTAACTACTGGTGATAAAAGACATATGGACCAATGTTTAAAGATTCTTCAAAGAGAAGACCCATCTTTGAAAGTTACCTTGGATGAAGATATGGGCCAAACTATTATAAGTGGGATGGGTGAATTACATTTAGAAATTTTGAAAGAAAGATTAGTCAGAGATATGAAAGTCAATGTTAGATTAACCGATATCGCAGTGAGTTACAAAGAAACAGTTGCAAAACCAAGCATGCAAAGCCATACGTTAATATCGAATGAAGATGAAAATATTAAGGTTGAGATCCAATTAGATACTTTCGAAGGTAATGCAGAAGAGACTACAGTTGCAGAAGAAGAAGGTGCTGAGATATTACAACAAGAGAATAATATCATTATAATAGAACCAAGTGCTACCCCAGCTCACATGTATCAAGCGATTGAAGACAGAAGATGGAAGCCCGATTACTCTCTTGAAGTATTACAAGATAGTATAATCCAAGGGTGTTATACTGCTCTACAGATGGGTGGTCCAATTCTAGGATTCCCATTGCACTCAACAGTGGTTAGAATAAAATCTTGGGACTTCCCAATCGAGAATAAGAATTTCCAACCAAATACTTTGCTTGATCTCGGACGTCGTTGTTTAAGAGAACATATTAATGAAATGTACGAAAATAATAAAACGTCCTTCACAGTATTAGAACCGTACATGGAAACAAAAGTCTACGTTGGATCAGAAAGCGTGGGTGAAGTCGCCCACGATTTGACCCAAAAATGTCAAGCAGTTATCACCTCAATTGAAGATGAAAATAGTGAAAATCTCGATGCACTCACCTGGGCTAATGAAGAAGCTGAAAGGATATACTTACCTCCTGATTATACTTTGAAAAAATCAAATTTGAACGGGTTAGATTTTGAAAACAAGAAGGTGATTCTTGCTGAAACCCCATTGAGAGAAATGATTGGCTACTTATCAAGATTAAGATCAATTACCCAAGGTAGATCGGTTTTCGATATGAACTACCTTGGGATGAGAAGAACTACTAGAGATCGTTTAACAGCAATTGCAAACGAAATCAACATCATGTGATCGTCTCTTTTCACTTTGTATATACCTTTTCTATCGTTTACCAACGGTCGAAGCCTGTAAATAAACGGAAACCTCCTAATGGTCAACAAAATTCACGTGTAGTTAGTCTGAAATTGAAAAATTATCGTGTACGATAGAAAATTCACAATGATGATTTGTGGTCGCGGGTCAACAAAAAAGCCTGAGAATCAATCTACCCCAGTTGTGAACAACAAGTTTAGTTGATTTAGTTTAAATTGGAAAGACTATACCAGAGAACATGTCAGATAGTCAACTACCACCACCAAACTTAGAGATGAATGAAAATATTTCGCCTCATTCATCCTCATCGTCTTTTGTTCCAATTGAAGAACATCATATTCAAGATGCAATTCAAGTAATTAACGAAGCTAAAGAGTTCAATCCTAATTTATTGGACTATATTACTAAATCAACTCCTTCAGCATCTAATGATAAGAAGTATCATGTAATTTCTGTATTTGGATCCCAATCTACCGGGAAATCAACCTTGTTGAATAAGTTATTTAATACCAACTTTGATGTGATGGATGAAACTAGACGTCAGCAAACTACCAAAGGGATTTGGATGGCTTATGCACCCACGGTTAGTAATACCAAACATTTGAAAAGTCAAGATGAGAATATATTTGTTATGGATGTTGAAGGTACTGATGGTAGAGAGAGAGGAGAAGATCAAGATTTTGAAAGAAAAGCAGCCTTATTTGCTTTATCAACCTCGGAAATTTTAATTATTAATGTTTGGGAAACTCAAATTGGGTTATATCAAGGTGCTAATATGGGATTATTGAAAACTGTATTTGAAGTTAACTTAACCTTATTTGGTAAAGCTAAATTGAATAAATCAAATAATCACAAAGTCTTATTACTTTTTGTAATTAGAGATCATATTGGGGTTACACCCAAAGAAAATTTAGCAAGTACTGTAACTCAAGATTTAAAAAATATGTGGGATAACTTGAATAAACCAAATGAATTGAGTCATATGAAATTTGAAGATTTTTTCGATATTTCATTTCATACATTAGGTCATAAAGTGTTACAACCGGAGAATTTTGCTAATGATGTTCAATTATTAGGAGATCGAGTAATTAATAAGGATAATGCCGAATATTTATTTAAACCTCAATATCATCATGAAATCCAATTGATGGATGGACATTATACGCAGAAAATTGCTGGGATCAAATTGATAATAATAAAGATTTAGACTTACCAACTCAACAAATATTAGTTGCAAAATTTAAATGTGACGAAATATTAAGTAATGTTTATGAAGAATTTTTATTAAAATTCAATGAACAACATTTAATTAAAATTCCAAAATTAAATGAAAAATTAACCGATGATATTGATTATGAAGATTTAGGTTTATCATTTATTGATTTGAAAAATGATGTTTTGGAAAATTTTGATGTATCAGCATCAAGATATAATCAATCAATTTATGAACAAAAAAGAATTACATTAATTGGGAAGTTAAATGATAAATTTAAAGAAATTTTTGAAGCTTATGCACAATATTTAC